AATGACTTGCTCACAGTCACAGAGGGCATCTATAGCAGAGCAGGGCCTTGAGCACTGGTTTGTCGGGTCCCAGGGTGGTACCTTACTCACCAGACCATCCTTTCAGTTCCAGCGTGGGTGATTTCCCCCTGTGGCTCGCACCGGATGGGTGACACATAGGGTGTTCTCACGCAACCCATGTGCCCCTTTTACCCCCAAGCCTCTGGGTTTGAACTGTGATCTGACCCTGCAAACCCCTCCACCCGTGTTCGTCTGCTATGGATCATGAAGTGCGATGATGGCTGGTGCCTTAGGGCGCCAGCCACACCGACTGGGCACTGGGCTTCCCCACTTGGGGATGGGGATGCACCCCCTGGATTGGTCAGGGTGGTTAGGACAGGCCTGGCCTGCTGCAGAGCTGGTCAGGTCCTGTATCCAGGGCCCTGCCCCCATCCTTCCCAGGGAGGTGGCCCCACTCCTGGGCTGAGGGTGTCCGAGGAATCTGTTTTCACACCCAAGGGTGAATATTTGACACCCCTGGGGCCAAATTCCGCTCTCCATCCCACCCATGGTGGGAAGTGATTTGGGGTCCCTTACTAAGGGGGTCCCATGAGATCCATGGTTGCCCTCTGGAAAGGTTCCTCTGTTATAGGCAGCAGCCTCCTGGCTGCTTACACTGACTTTGTGCTCATCTCACCCTCTGGGAGGAGCCACGTGGGGCAGTACTCAACTGCCTCAGTTTCCCCACTTCTGGCTATAGCAACACCCAGCTGTGCCTCAGTTTCCCCACCTCCAGGCTGTCCTTCCACTCTTGAAATGACTCCCACCCCCCTTTACTCCTCACTGCTTGCAGGCGGTCCAGAGAACCCCCTCTCTGGCGGCTTGACTGCTGCAGCTTGTTCTCAGGGCCCGACTGATTTGCCAGGTTTGGGGTGGGGAGGGAATTTTCCCCCAGATCGGCAGGGACTTTGGGGTTTTTCCCCTTCTCCGGCAGGGTGGGGCATGGATCTGGGCAGGTCTCGGGTCTGTTCCGGTCCCTGCACGTGGCACACAAGAGTTTAGCCTGCCGAGGACCCAAACGCTGGCGTCTAATTAGGGTCGTTGAGCTCGGCATACGGGGGAGCGAGCGGGTGAACGTCTAGATGTGAGCCTGGGCTAGACAGGAGGTCAGCCTAGTGGACAGGATGACTCCTTCCGGCCTTAAATTCCCTGAACCTGTGAAATAGAAAGCAGCGGGAGATAGTCACGGTCGGCTGAGGACTGAACTCAGCATCCTGCAGATCGTGGCCCCTCCTGGGGAACTGCCTCCCTGTTAGCTCCAGTGATTCGGGGTGCCGGCTGCCCCTTTGCCTGGGTTGGCAGTAACTGAACAGCTGTGAGCCATTGCCGGCCCCCTGGTGCCTGAGCCCTGGGCATTCTGCCCCTTCGTGTCCCCTGGCAGTCAGAGCATCTAGATCTCTGCCACTGGGGGTTCCCCCTTCCCATCTCTGGGGAGCCCCCTCCAGGGGCCCATCCAGGAACGGCTCCCCTTGGGTTTCCTCTTGGAACCCGGCCGGCTGCGCACATTGTCGTCTGTCCGTTTCCCAGCTGCCCGCCGCTCTAGGCTCAGAAACCTCAGCCACAGCTGGCATGCCCCAGCCCGCCCCCAGCACCAATGTCCCTACATAGCCCCTCATTTGGGTCGCAACCGCAGCGTGACTCAGAGCCCCTTTATTCTGCACCCCGGAAACCTCCCCCTCCGCGCTTTGGGGCTGGTTCAACTCTGGCAGCAACGCTTAGTGCCTCTCCAGTTTGCGCCCTTGCTCCTGCACCGGGGTCTGCAAGCTGCTTGGGCCCACGGACAGCACTTCTCTCTCAAGCTGCACCTGTGGGAGCAGTGAGCTCGGTCCGGCTGCGGTGCAGGGGGCTGTGGGTGCTCTCCTGTCCCCCTCTTCCCCGGGGAGAGGGCCCCAAACTCTCTCGCTCGGCCATTCTGGCCTCTGTCTGCTGGGACGCCCACCTGCCCTGCCAGGGCCGCTTCACTGGGCATGGCTTTGGGGCTGGCACTTGGTTCTGCCTCTGGTCAGTCTCCTGTGGCGGCATCACCCTTTCTAAGGCCTGCCTCCGATCGTGCGTGTCTGGTCGCGCCTCTTCCCCGAACGGCTCAGCCTCGCTCCCTTTTCTGCCCAGTCTGCAAGATCCGCCTTCTGCTGTCTCTCTTCGAGCCTCAGACCCTCACAAAGGCCTTTAAAGAGCTTTGCCCGCTGCAACGCTGCCCCCAGCATGGCCCAGCCCTGGCACAGTCCCCCCAGTGCACAGGTGCCAGTCCCCTATAATCGGACGCAACCCTTGGATCCCATCTGCATCCATACCAGCCGGGTCTGGGCAGGGGGTAGTCCCTTCAGGGCTCCTCAAGCAATCTCCTGGGGTTAGAACGCCCCACTGGGCCCCGCCCTGAAATGCGGGACCCTACAGATGCCTGTGGCAGGGAAGCCAAGGACAGGGGTGCTCTCTCCCCCTCCTGCCTCCCCACCCCAGCAGCAGGGGAATTCCCGGTGGATTTTCAGGAGAGAATCCAACCATGAGACACCCCCTCTCAGCCCCCGCCCTGTGTTTTCACTGGCCCTGATCCAGCCTCACAGTCAAAGATCAAGTGACTGGGGCGGTTGTGTGTGTCACAACTCCACGGGATCTGTGGCTTTTAAGCGGTCTGGTGGAGGAACCCCATGAGTGTGCCCCCTCCTCACCTCGTGTCCTGACCTGCCCTCCAAAAGCAGACTTAGCCCTTTGCCCTCCACTGGGTAACAATGTGAAGTTTAGGGGGAAACTGAGGCACACATCGGCGTCATAAACATATCACAGAAAATCCCCACTTTGTCACAGGGGGCTTTTTGTCTGGCTTGTTTACACTTTGAGCTTCACCCCACCCACCCAGACGGAACAGGTATGTCAGCCCTTGCTCACTCTGCAGCTCCAGCCCTGAACTGTCTGCGTCTCCTGGCTCTGGTCCAGTGGTTCTCCACCAGGGGGATACGCAGAGGTCTTCCGGGGGTACATCAACTCATCTAGACATTTGCCTGGTTTTACAACAGGCAGGCTACGTAAACAGCACGAGCAAAGTCGGTGCAAACTAAAACGTCACACGGACACAATGAGAAAGGAAGCAGCAGGTCAGGAATAGCGCGCTGGGACACTTTTGTATTTTGATGTCTGCTTTTGTAAGCAGGTCGTTTTTAAGTGAGGTGAAACTTGCGGGTACGCCAGACAAATCAGGTGCCTGAAAGGGGTACAGTCATCTGGAAAGGTTGAGAACAGCTGCTCTGGTCAGTTTCACGCAGCAGTCAGGGGCCTGTAACTTACCTCCCTAGAGCTCTGTGGGAGGGGAAGTGCCAGGGAAAGATACAAACTTCCAACTTGTTCCAGACAGAGCGGCACCAGGGGGGCAGGTGCAATAGACACATAAACAGAAAAACACCAGAGGCCCCAAAACAATGCCGAAAGCAGGTTATTATTAATCAGGCTTGTTAGGGTCGTGCCTAAGGCCCCCACTGAGATGGGGGCCTCATTGCACTTGATCTGCACAGGGTAACAAAAGGTCTCTGACCCAAAGAACTGACACTGGAGATAGAGCAGACCAGGATGAGGCCAGGGTAGAGCAGAGGGAGCACTGAGAGGGCAGCACCAGGGAAATTAAATGCAAGACACCCTTGAAATGCCAACCAATCCAAGGTCCGGGTGCCGCACTTTGCTCTGAAGTCAATGGGGCTCCTCCTGGACATAATGTTGCATACATGTGGGTTTGCAGGATTGAGCCCCAAACTGGACTATTCCAGAATGTGAGGTGCCTCGACAGAGGCTAACTTGGCCCAGCTGTGAGTCTGCGAAAGTGTTTTTTTCTATTCTGGTTTTCCTTGGCAAGGTTAGCATTTTAATGAGCTGGTCAGGACAGTTTCTCTTGAATGAGGAAAACAAGACGACACATGATGCGAGCTGGCTAAATTTAAGGTTTAACCTTAATTGCTCAAATGTCCTAATATTGATTGCTTGATATTTTAACCTGCATTCGTTCTGGAGCTTTTCTGCATTTAATTTCCCTGTCTTTTCCTAGGCATTGTCCACATGGGGAATTCTGGTATAACTCAGGTATTCTGTAATATGCCCCCTCCAAACAGTCTATTCAACAACAAAAAATCACTTTATTCCAACATAAATAAATATCCCCCCCCCCGGGGGGGGGGGGGAGAGAGAGATAGCTCAGTGGTTTGAGCTTTGGCCTGCTAAACCCAGGATTGTGAGTTCAATCCTTGAGGGGGCCATTTAGGGATCTGGGGCAAAAATTGGGGATTGGTCCTGCTTTGAGCAGGGGGTTGGACTAGATGACCTCCTTAGGTCCCTTCCAACCCTGATATTCTATGATTCTATGAATAAGTATTTCACTCAATAGAAATTCCAGGATAACTCAGGCGTTCCGGAATAACTCCTTGTATGCACACTCTATTCCAAAATCATCTGAGAAACAGGGAGGTGGCAAAATTTGCAGATGATACAAAACTTCTCAAAATAGTTAAGTCCCAAGCAGACTGCAAAGAAATCTCACCAAACTGGGTAACAAAATGGCAGATGAAATTCAATGTTGATAAATGCAAAGTAAGGCACATTGGAAAACATAATCCCAACTATTCATGCAAAACGATGGGGTCTAAATTAGCTGTTACCGCTCAAGAAAGAGGCCTTGGAGTCATTGTGCAGTGGCAGTCAAAAAAGTTAACAGAATGTTGGGAATTATTAAGAAAGGGGTAGATAATATGTAAGGCCCTACCAAATTCATGGCCATGAAAAACATGTCACGGTCCATGAAATCTGGTCTTCCCCCGTGAAATCTGGACTTTTGTGTGCTTTTACCCTCTACTGTACAGATTTCACCGGGGAGACCAGCGTTTCTCAAAGTCAGGGTCTTGACCCAAAGAGCGTTGCGGGGGGGGGGGGGTGTCGCAAGTTTACTTTAGGAGTATTTCCACCTTTACTTCTGCCCTGCCTTCAGAGCTGAGCTCCCGGCCGGCAGCCACTGTTTTACAGCTGACCAGCTCTGAAGACAGTGCAGAAGTAAGGATACCAGTAGCACAACCCCTACAATAACCCTGCAACCCCCAAATACTCCTTTTTGTGTCTAGACACCTACAATTACAACATCCTGAGATTTCAGATTTAAGTAGCTGAAATCAGGAAATTTACCATTTTTAAAATCCTATGACCATGAAATTGACCAAAATGGACTGTAAGTTTGGTAGGGCCCTAATAATAAGACAGAAAACTTCATATTGCCTCTATGTAAATCCATGGTACGCCCACATCTTGAATACTGCGTGCAGACCTGGTTGCCCCATCTCAAAAAAGATATACTGGAATTGGGAAAGGTTCAGAAAAGGGCAACAAAAATGATGAGGGGTATGGAAAAGATTCTGTATGAAAAGAGATTAATAAGTGTCACGGAGTCCCCGGGTGATGCTCTGGAACTGCTCCCTACGAAGCCAGGCAGGACTCTGGGGAAGTCTCCTTTCTGTTAGCAGACTGTCTTCAGGACACACAGCTCACACAGCTTCCACTTTCCTGGGTCTGATCTCGGAGCATTCAGCATCCTCTGCCCCTCCGTGCGCTTCCCCCAGCGAGTCTGCTCAGGCGGAGTCCTGGAGAAGCCAGAGGGTCCTGCCCCCCAACTTCGCAGTCAGACGTGACTCTCAGCCAGCCAGTAAAACAGAAGGTTTATTAGACCACAGGAACATGGTCTAAACCAGAGCTTGTAGGTGCAGAGAACAGGATCCCTCAGCCGGGTCCATTTTGGGGGGCAGTGAGCCAGACAACCACGTGTGCACTTCACTCCATGTCCCAGCCAGCCCCAAACTGAAACTCCCTCCAGCCCCTCCTCCTCTGGGCTTTGTCCCTTTCCCCGGGCCAGGAGGTCACCTGATTCCTTTGTTCTCCAACCCTTTAGCTCTCACCTTGCAGGGGGGAAGGCCCAGGCCATCAGTTGCCAGGAAACAGGGTGTTGGCCATTCTCTGTATCCAGATCCCTGCACACACCTGCCCTCTAGGGCTCTGCAATGATCATACACCCTTATCCTACCACCTAGAGACAAGAACTGCATAGGGGAAACTGAGGCACCCCCACACTATTCAGAGGAAACATTAAGAACAGTCCCGCTTCATCACAATAAGATTAGGACTTTTCAGCTTGGAAAAGAGACGATTAAGGGAGGATATGACAGAAGTCTACAAAATCATGACTGGTGTAGAGAAAGTAAATAAAGAAGTGTTATTTACTCCTTCTCATAACACAAGAAGTGGGGGTCACCCAATGAAATTAATAGGCAGCAGGTTTAAAACAAACAAAAGGAAGTATTTCTTTAAACAATACACAGTCAACCTGTGGAACTCCTTGCCAGAGGATGTTGTGAAGGCCAAGACTATAACAGGGTTCAATAAAGAACTAGATACGTTCATAGAGGATAGGCCCATCAATGGTTATTAGTCAGTATTGGCAGGGAGGGTGTCCCTAGCCTCTGGTTGCCAGAAGCTGGGAATGGGTAACAGGGGATGGGTCACTTGACGATGACCTGTTCTGTTCATTCCCCCTGGGGCACCCGGCATTGGCCGCTGTCGGACGGCAGGATACTGGACTAGATGGACCTTGGTCTGACCCAGTATGGCCCTTCTTATGTTCTTATGACTTTATTCCAGAATATTTACTCTGCCTTGGAGTTATGCTGGAATACCTAGAGTGGAATAACTACTTTGGTACAGATATGCTGGTCAGTTTACCTTAAGGAGGGGACTGGTGGGAAAGTGACCATGTCCATTACTTTTTACGGACCTCCTCCCTTTAGCATCTCTGTCAATCTTTGCAACTGATGAGGGCAGGTTTTAGCAGATATGTGTGTGGGGTTTGGGTTTTTTTTTAAAAAGAAAACGGAAAAGTGTTAACAGGCTGGAGCAGAAAAGGCCTCTTTAAACATTTTTAAAAGTCTTTAAAAAGCTTTCAACTAATGCTGTTCAGACTCGGTTTGATGGTTAAATCTGAGTGAGATAAAAAGCAGCCACATCTGAGACTTTTGTGGATGTTTTCGTGACACCAGCGTAAGCCATGCCTGCTCAGTGTGGCACTCCGCCCCCTTCAAGTGGTGGCTAGGCCAGCTACAGATTGATGAGTAGATCCCTGAGTAGCTCCGCATCCAAGCCAGGAGCCCGCAGACATAGTCTTGTGGCTATAAAGCGGCGATCCGCAGATTTGCAGGGCTCTAGGGATGAGCTTGCTACAACCGCCGCTAAGAGAGGGGTGGCTTTTAGCTCAGGCAGTAGAGGCTCCCACATCAAGGTCAAGGGATCCCACGTTCGATCGTAGCCGCTGACAGCGTTACCCGAGGCCAGGGGCAGTCAATAGGCAGACCCCAGGCCAACTCCGGACCAGCAGACACTTTTGAATGGACCTCGAGATCTTTTTATTTACTTATGATGATCATTATTGTTGGTTTATTTTTATTATTTTCTCTGGAGTCTGGATCTTGACTATACCTGGACCAAGAAATTTGGACCTTGGCAAAAAATAACGGACTGCCCCTGGGTGGGAGGTGAGCTTCTGGAGCAGAAGGGAGGGAAAATGGAATTCAGTTTTCTAGAAGAGGGGTGCGTCTGATGCCCAGTAGATTTGCTATAGCTGAACCTTGATATTTAGCTCATTAATCTCCGGTGTGGGATGCTTTTCTGTTTTGATTTCCGGCCCTTTAAATTGGAGACTCCACCTCCTTGCACTGGATGGGCACAGTGCAGCCTGCTGGCAATGCTGCCTACTGCAGGCCACGCCTATTAAAGGAGCAGGGGTCGAGGAGCTTTTTGCAGAGTAGGGGGCTTCTCTGATGAGCACCATGCTTCCCGACTGGCTTTCCGGGACACCTTCTCCACCTGTCACGATCGCGCATGACTTCAACATGTGGCGGGACTACCTGAACCTGTCAAAGGTTCTTGGCGAAATCATTGAGGAGCACAGAAGGGGGTCCAGGAGCCTCCTAACCTGTGAGACTGCAGATCTCTGCCTGCCAGGGACCCCCCTTCAAATGCCTCCGGGGGATGCCTCGAGCCTGAAGTCATCGGGATGGAACAGGAGCAATGGCAGCAGCTGTCCGCAAAGTGGGCAGAACAGGGCGGCCACCCCTCAGACGCCCGGCAGACTCCTATGCAACTTCTGCAGACACAACGGGGAGTCCAAGAGGGTCTACTCCTCCCACTTGCTGAAGCAAGCCGATGGCATCGTGCTGTGTCCCATCCTGCGCAACTACGTGTGCCCGGTGTGTGGTGCCACGGGCGATGGGGCCCACACGCTGAAATACTGCCCGCACAATCAAGAGAAGCAGTCCCTCTACTGCAAAGGTGGACGCAACTCGGCTGGCTTCATAGTGAGACGGTGAACGGCAGGGGAAGAAACCACCTCCACCCTGGGACCTTTCACCGGGGAGCCACCAGAAGGGGCTTGGAACTGAAGTCTATTTTCTACCCTTTGTTTCCGAGTTTGCGTTTCAAGTCCAGGGTGGATTTGACTCAGCCACGCAGAAAGTCGCCCTGGTTTCTTTAAATCCCCACAGCAGCCTGGTTTTCGTTTCCCTGACTTCGGGCGGAAGAGAACCAGTGCCAACGAACCGGAAGTTTCGTAGTTTTGCCCTTGGCCTGCTAACTCATGCGGAGATTTAATTTTCAGCATTTGCAGACGAGGCAGCATCCGTCGGGGTAGATGGGTGCAAGGCTTTTGTCTTTGGTAGATTTGTTTTGTTTGAAACTTCTTTTCCCCACCAAGTGTTATTCGTTTTGTTTTACGCATCACAGGAATCACGAGGACTTTTAAATGTGAAGTTTACTTTAAAATCATGTCAGAAAAAGAACTGAATTCTAATATACGCAGCTACGTCATGTTTTAACTGATTTTGTTATTACAACATGTTGCGGGGGGGAGGGATTGTTCTCTCGGTGTTATGAGATTTGAGGGTTTGTTTATGAGAGTTATTTTTCATTAAAAAATGAAACACTCCCTTATCCCCTTTCCCTTCTGTTTAATAAACAGCACTGTTGTTCTAGCAGACGGTTGTGTGTTTGATCGGCTTTTCCTCTGCGTGGCTCTGGGAGAGATCTCCTTTCCGGCTAGCAATCGAGGGTGAGCCCCTTGTCTCCCCGCTTTTATTCTGGGCGGCGGCTGGGAGGGAGATGTGCACGGCCCCCTGCGAAGCTTTCTCAGCCCTGCACTGCTGGGGACCCCCTTGGTGGGAAGGGATTTCTGTTTCCATGGCCCCACTCCCTCTCGCACTCCCTGGAGATTTGGGGGGATCTTGACCCCCGTCCTGCTAGAAACCAGCCTGACTCACTAACTTTCCCCCGCAAGCAAGTGAAGGGACTTGGGCCAGAAGCAGCGTCCCAGTGTCCACACATTCAGTGCTCTGGCCTGCTGTGGGCCCACTTTCCTCTCCCTCAGCGGGACCCTCTTCAGTCTCCTCTACCAGCTACAACGAGGGGACCCCCCAGCTGCTTGGCTATGAAGCCCGATATGCCCAGAAGACCCCAACAGGAGCCCTGGCTTTGCCTCTCCCATCCCTACATGTCCCGGCCCTGCCCCCTCTGCCCTGGTGTGACCCCGCTGCCCCAAACTGGCTACTGTTTTCCAAGGGGGTCGGAGGAGCAGGGCTGCTCTGGGGCTGGGCAGATGCTGAGAGGATGGCTGCTGAGGGCGGGGAGACCAAGGAGGAGGGGGAAGGCAGAGTGGGGAGCTCTGCTAGGGAGCATGGTCCCTGGAGCCTGTGCACCCCATATTGTGATGTAGAAAACATGCCCCAGCAGAGGAGCTGAATGTGTCCTGCCACAGAGAGCCAGATTAGGGGTGGCTGCATGCATTGGAGGTAAAGATTAACGGGCACTAGGGGGCTCGGCTGCCCCAATAGCAAGAGAGATGTAAGGACGGGTGAGTTCTCAGGCAAGGTCTCTCACCAAAGGCTCTTAAACAAAGTAGGCAGTCATGGAATAAGAGGGAAGATCCTCTCACGGATCAGTAACTGGTTAAAAGATAGGGAACAAGGGGTAAGAATAAATGGCCAGTTTTCAGAATGGAGAGAGGTAACTAGTGGTGTCCCCCAGGGGTCTGTACTGGGACCAGCCCTATTCAACATAGTCATAGATGATCTGGGAAAAGGGGTAAACAGTGAGGTGGCAAAATTTGCGGATGATACAAAACTGCTCTAGACAGTTAAGTCCAAAGCAGACTTTGAAGAGTTACAAAAAAGGGAGCTCACAAAGCCGGGTGACTGGGCAACAAAATGGCAGATGAAATTCAGTGGTGATAAATGCAAAGTAATGCACACTGGAAAACATAATCCCAACTATTCATACAAAATGATGGGGTCTAAATTAGCTGTCGCCACTCAAGAAAGAGATCTTGGGGTCATTGTGGATAGTTCCCTGAAAACATCCACTCAGCATGCAGCAGCCGTCAAAAAAGCCAACAGAATGTTGGGAACCACTAAAGGGAGAGATAATAAGACAGAAAATATCATATTGCCTCTGTATAACTCCATGGTATGCCCACATCTTGAATACTGCATCCAGATGTGGTCGCCCCATCTCAAAAAAGATATATTGGAATTGGGAAAGGTTCAGAAAAGGGCAACAAAAATGATTAGGGGGATGGAACAGCTTCCGCATGAGGAGAGATTAATAAGACTGGGACTTTTCAGCTTGGAAAAGAGACAACTAAGAGGAGATGAGATAGAGGTCTATACAATCATGACTGGTGTGGAGAAAGTAAATAAGGAAGTGTTATTTACTCCTTCTTGTAACACAAGAACTAGGGGTCACTCAATGAAATAAATAGGCAGATTTAAAACAAACAAAAGGAAGTCAATGCATAGTCAACCTGTGGAACTCTTTGCCAAAGGATGTTGTGAAGGCCAACATTATAACAGGGTTCAAAAAGGAACTAGATAAGTTCATGGAGGATAGGTCCATCAATGGCTATCAGCCAGTATGGGCAGGGATAGTGCCCCTAGCCTCTGTTTGCCCAAAGCTGGGAATGGGGGATGGATCACTTGATGATGACCTGTTCTGTTTCTTCCCTCTGGGGCACCTGGCATTGGCCATTGTCAGAAGACAGGACACTGGGCTAGATGGACCTTTGGTCTGACTCAGTATGGCTGTTCTAATTTTCTGAAGGGGGTGGTGGGGGTTGAGGGGTGACAGGGGTCCCTGCAAGGATGCTAGATCGGATCACAATGGGGCCAAATCCAAAGCAGCATCTCCCAAGGGAATCACCCTAAAACCTGAGATATTTCCCTAGCAAATTGCCTAGATACTGTGCTGGCCACCGCAAAACCAGGACATCCTTGCGTGTGACAGAGATGCAGGGAATGGGATGGTGGGGGAGGAAAGTGGTGCTCTGCCCCCACAACCCAAGCTCCATCTATAAGCTTCAGTTTTGCCCAGTCACTCGCTGATGTGCATAGTGTGCAGGTTTAATCAGCAGCAAAATAGTTGAGAACTGTGACCTTTTTAAGCCTCAGTTGTTAACAACTCACACAAAAGAGCTGGAGCTCCTGTTTCAGGCTGGCTGCAGACTCAGGCAGAGGTCACTGGAGCCGTTATACACTTTGAAGTTGTCTTCGGTAGCCAGGAAGGTGAGAGGCTTGTTACTAAAGAGAGCTCAGATCTCTGAGCATACAATGGGCCTGTGATGGGGTGACAGGGCTGCCCTGGCCATGTGAATTCCCAGTGGGAAACCCCTTCTCCCGGGGGTTTGCTAGCTGGGGAGCAGCCTGGTGGTGCCCTCCGGCGTATCTACCACTCCTCCCACTTTAGTGTCATCTGCACTATCTCTTATCCTGTCCCCAGTCGCTCCGCCGAGGCTGATGCTCTGATCCCGCTTTGCTTCCCAGCCCAGGGAGCCAGGACAGGGATTTAGAGGAGCGGCCCCTCGGTGAGCTCGAACTCACAACCCCGCGCTCCAAAGCGCCCGCCTGGAGCTCCAGGGGCCAGGCCGGGTGCAATGCGCCGAGCAGCCACTAGAGGCCCTCGCCCCGCGGCTCCCGGCTCCCGAGAAGTAGAAACTACATTGGGACTGACGGCGATGAAAGAGGCGGGTTCTGAGTGGGCGGGACTGTGAGGGGGATTGGCAGCCAGTGGGGACCCAATGGAAACTCTGAGTGTTAGTCGGCGAGGGGTGGGAGGGTTCTGCGGTTGATGGACGGCCGCTGAAAACCAGTGGCCGCGCAGGCTTGGGCGGAGGAGGCGGGCCTTGCATGTGACAGACAGAGGCTTCGAGCCAATGGCCAGCCGGCGGCAGTTGGTCGGCAGCCAATGGGAGCGGAGCGGGGCGCTGGGGGGCAGGGTCCTGTCAGGGGAGGCGGCGGTTGGGCTGAGCCGGCGGCCGAGGCGGTGAGTGACCCGAGTCTGTATCGGCCCCCTCCGTGGAGACTCCCCCAGGCACGTGATCGCCCGAGCCCCCTCCCCTATAGTGCCCCCTCAGCACCCCTCCCCCCCGTGGGGGAGCCCCCCGGAACCCCCTCCCCCCGTGGGGACCCCCTGGCACGTGATCCCCCTGCATCCCTTCCCCCCGTGGGGGAGCCCCCCGGAACCCCCTCCCCCCGTGGGGACCCCCTGGCACGAGATCCCCCTGCATCCCTTCCCCCCGTGGGGGAGCCCCCCGGAACCCCCTCCCCCCATGGGGACCCCCTGGCACGTGATCCCCCTGCATCCCTTCCCCCCGTGGGGGAGCCCCCCGGAACCCCCTCCCCCCGTGGGGACCCCCTGGCACGTGATCCCCCTGCATCCCTTCCCCCCGTGGGGGAGCCCCCCGGAACCCCCTCCCCCCGTGGGGATCCCCTGGCACGAGATCCCCCTGCATCCCTTCCCCCCGTGGGGGAGCCCCCCGGAACCCCCTCCCCCCGTGGGGACCCCCCCCCCCCATCCCCCTTCCCCCGGGGGGGGCCCCGGAACCCCCTCCCCCGTGGGGACCCCCTGGCACGTGATCCCCCTGCATCCCTTCCCCCCGTGGGGGAGCCCCCCCGGGACCCCCTCCCCCGTGGGGATCCCCTGGCACGTGATCCCCCTGCATCCCTTCCCCCCGTGGGGGAGCCCCCCGGAACCCCCTCCCCCCGTGGGGATCCCCTGGCACGTGATCCCCTGGTGCCCCCTCCCCCATAGCGTCCCCCCCCGGAACTCCCTCCCCCCCATGGGGACTCCCTGGCACGTGACCTCCCTCCTGGTCTGTGACCTCCGGATCCCCCCCTCCCCCCGAGTTTCCCTCCATGCCCGGGGGGGGGAGGGCATTGCTATTTCCTGTCCCCTAGCTTCCCTTTCCCTAAACCCCTTCCCATGGGGTCCCCCATTGCTGCTCCCCCCCCGTGCACCTCCCTGCCATGGGGCTCCCCTGCCCGGTATCCCCCCACCCCACCCCAGAGTCCCTGTTCTTCACCCAGCACCTCTCCGCACCCCACGGTACCAGGGTTTGGGGCAGCCAGGGGTGAGGGGTGGGGTTTTTTTTGGGGGGGGTTGACCACCTGCCCCCACATTTGCCATTGTTGGGGTTCCCCAAGAACTTGGTCCGACTCAGGTGCCTTTATTTGGCCTGCTGCGAAGCTATGCTGAGCTTATCAGACGCAAATGAAGGGGGTGGGTAGAGGGCGCACCAAAGTTACACCTGCTACGGCATTTTTACGGGTTTCAGAGGAGCAGCCGTGTTAGTCTGTATTCGCAAAAAGAAAAGGAGGACTTGTGGCACCTTAGAGACTAACCCATTTATTTGAGCATGAGCTTTCGTGAGCTACAGCTCACTTCATCGGATGCATACTGTGGAAAGTATAGAAGATCTTTTTATACACACAAAGCATGAAAAAATGGGTGTTTACCACTACAAAAGGTTTTCTCTTCCCCCACCCCACTCTCCTACTGGTAATAGGGGTGGGGGGAGAGAAAACCTTTTGTGGTGGTAAACACCCATTTTTTCATGGTTT